TGTTCAGCGCATCCAAGTGGCCATGAGAGAGATGTCTGAAGTAAGAAAACTGCTGCCTGGGGGTGGGCGAGGGGAGAGGGATTTGTGATTAGGGGCATCACAGAGGAGGGCAGCATGCCTATAAGAAAAGCTGGGTAGGCTCTGATGAAGCCAAGCCACAAGGCAAGTACCCACTGTGTGCCAGGCACTCTTCTCATCAGCAGCACCATACATTTAAAGAGAACTTATTTGCCAAGCATGGCCTTTAAAGCAAGGACTTTCACAGCACACTGCCTAGGTTTGAATCCAAGCTTACTAGCTGTGTAACTTTGAAAATGTTACTTACCCTTTTTGTGCTGCAGATTTCTCATTCATAAAACAGAGACTGTAAAACGGGGTTATTGTAAGAACTAAACAAAATTAAAATATTCACATGTTTAGGACAATGGCTGGCACACAATAAGCTGTGCCGCATGCATGTTAGCACTTACTGGTCCATTTCTTTTTTTAAATTTTTTTTTCTGGCCATGCCGCAAGGCATGCAGGATCTTTGTTCCCAGACCAGGAATTGAATCTGTGCCTCCTGCAGTGGAAGCAAGGAGCCTTAACCTTACTGGACCACCAGGGAAGTCCCAGCCCATCTTTTTCAGATGAGAAAACTGAGGCAGAAAGAAGAAAGGAGACTTGCTGAAGCACACACAGCTACATGGTGGCAGAACCTGGACACTGCCTGTCACTGACTTCTCACAAACCCTGGGAGGGAAGTGACATCCTCTTCCTTCTATCAGTGAGAGCCTGGAAGGCGGAGAGCTTAGTAAACTGCTCATCACACAAGCTGGCAAATGGGAGAATTAAGACTGAAGATCCCACATTCGCTGTCTTGAAAGTCTTTGCACATCCCACTAGGCCTGCTCTCAAGCATTAGTGTACATCGGAATGACTGCAGGGCTTGGTTAAGCATAGGCTGCTGGGCCCCACCTCCAGAGTTTCTGATTGGGCAGCTCTGTGCTGGGGGGCCAGGGGTGGGCATTTCTGACAAGTTCTGGAGACACTGTTGCTGCTGGTCTGGAGCCCGCACTGCCTACAATCAGGCACCTGTATGCAGAACAGAGAGTAGAAGGGATAGGACCCAAAGGTTATGGGTCCCACCCTGGTGAAGACTTGGTTACTCCCCTGGGCCTAGCAAACATACTTTGCATTTACATGGTCCTTTCATAGTTATGATCTCATCTGATCTTTCCAACATCCCTAGGTAGTGATCATTATCTCCATTCATTGTGATTTGTTTGTAGGGACATATGGTTAAGAAAATGGCCGTGAGAGTATAAACCACAGGTCACCTGACAAGTGTTCTGTTCTTTCCTCCAAGTAACTAGTCCTAGAAACACTGCCTGCTGATGGAGACTGACTCCAATCCCAACCTGTGACTTTACAAAGAATAACTTCAGTTCAGGCAAGGGCACTTTGGCCCACCACAGTTTGTGGGAGGTAATTTCTGGTGGGAAGAACATAAGACCCATTTTCTACCATCATTTCAAGGACTAGGAAAGTCTACTGCTCACAAAATACTTCCACCAACTATTTGCTCCCTGATCGATAACCTAAAAGCTTTGATATTTGACTAAAATGTGATTCTCTATAAAAGATGAAAGCAATTTGGGGGGTTAATTTCTACTGGAGCACAGCTTGTTCATTTAGAACAGCTTGCATGGACAGTGTAGTTTTTAAAGTTGTTTGGACATATAAGCCAATAACTCATTAGTAACCAGAATATTTCAAGAACTCCTATAAGTATATAAGGAAAAAACAAACCCCCAAGAAAAAAATGGGAAAAGACATAAACAGGCATTCACACGTGTCTTAGTCACATATGGCCAATATTCATATGAAAAAAATCCTCGGCTTCATTATTTGTCAGGGAAATTCAATATAAAGCAACCAGGCAGTACTACTTCACACCCATCAAAAAGGCTGACACCACTGAGTGTTAGCAAGGAATTAAGGAATCGATATATATACCCTAGAGGATTCAATTATTACTTATCCATTCATGTATTATTATCCAATAAATAAATAAACATATTTACATTCATCTACATTCAGGATACAATGTTAAGCTGAAAAGATGCTAGGGATTCCCAGAAGCTATGCTACGTCTCACCTGTAGTCTCCTGGTGGAAACAAAAACGGGGGGAAGGGGAGAGAAGGATATTGACATGGAAGGCCTTCCAGTTGGTCCAGAAGGGACTGCTGCTCCTAAGGAGCTTCCAGTCATGATTCACCCCACCACCCACTGAACTTCCCATATTTGAGGTGTGATCATATGGTTGAATATCTGGACTAAAATTAATAAAAATAACCACCACCTGTGAGCTACTATGTACCAAGCACTTTATACACATTAACCCATTTAATCATCACAGTGACTTGACACAGGAATATCATTCCTATCTTACGTATGATAGATAAACGAGTTTTAGAAAGATCCAGCACCCTGCCCAAGCTCACACCATTTATTAGTGTGCATTCATCAGTGGCAGCTTTAAATCACAGTCTGTCTGGCACCAAACCATATGATTATAGATGCCCAAAGTGATGTTGACATCATCATGAGAAATTCAGGCCACCTTTAAGAAAAATTAAATAAAATTTGGATATGGATTTCACTCATTGCATAATATTCATTCATTTTACTCCTTCCTTCTATGAGTATAGACATTGGAACATGTTTATTTTATCTGACATGGAAGAAAGGAAGCTGTGTGGATTAACCAGGCCTGAATCGGCCACACACCAGTCCTGTGAACTCCTGCAAGTTACTCGGTCTCTTGCCTCACTTTCCTCCTCTCTAAAATGGGGAAAATAGATACCATCAAATCTCCCTCCTTCCAAGATTTGTTAACATCTAACAAGACCTCATAGTTGAGCTGTTCTGTAAACTGTAATGTATCATATAACATAAGACATTTTAATCGCCTCATCTCCAGGTTATAAGGGGGGGAGGGGAAGTAAGGAAATATAGTGATCAGCCAAGATCCTACTGAAGAAAAGAGAGGTGTGGCATGGCAGTGGGCCCTGGGAATCCATGGGTGAAGTCTAGGATGGGAACAGAGAAGAGGAGAGGATGGCTGTGTACACAGTATACACCCGGGTTTAAAAATCGTTAAACTAGAAAACTTATCCTAACCCAATTTACTTCAGTGGGAATATCCATTTATTCCTCTTTTGTAAAACATTCACACAACATCCGGAGTAACATTATGCATGTAAGTATCACTAAAGCAATACTTGTTGCAATTACCAATCTATTCAACTACTCAGGCAAGCTAGAAAAATAAAAGGGGGTGGTCAGCCTTCAGACCTACTAAGTTTCGGCAACCATTTGATGCAATGAGAAAGGAATTTAATTGGCGCACTAACCGAAAGTAAGAATAAATCCTTTGAAAGCCTTCAAGATGACAATGCCAAGCCAGAGTCTCCCTAACTATCCATAATTGAAAAGCTTGTTTCTAACACAATAAATAAATATTTGAAAATTGCTTTTGCCTTTTGTCAAATTTCTCTTTACGATGCTTACTATGTGCCAGCACTTTACAATTATTAACTCATTAATTCATTTAATCTTCCAAACAACCCTGGGGCAGAGGTGGGGGTGACGCCAACACCAATGACGGCCCTGGTGCAGTCTGCCTTTGGCCCCGGTCGGCCATTTTAGAACTCAAGGCATGTTAGCCTCGGAAGAAGAAAGCTCACATGACGGAAACAGACGAAAAGGACAAGACAGGAGACACACAGACACACACAAGCAAACAGGTATCTAAAAAGTACCAAATCCTGACTTAGCTTGGTGGGGGATGCAAAGATGAAGTGGATGAGAACTTGCCCACACGGAACCTATAACAGATGAGCAGTGACGAATGCCCTATGGATGACAAAATACCAAAAGAGAGGCTACAGGTGGCACGAACCCCAGGAAAGGCTTCACAGAGGAGATGGCATTTGTGCCAGTCCTGAGGGATGGGTAGGAATTGGCCAGGCTGAGAGACCAACGCATGGCCTCTGCAGATAGAACGCAGTAAGGCAGCATATCAGATCAGGTCCCCGTGCTCAGAACATGCTGGGAACATGCAGTACCTTCCCAGCTCACTTGGAATAAAATCCCAACTCCTTGTCACCTCCTACCCAGACCCTGAGCAGGCCCTGTCTCCCTTACTGTCCCCTTGCTAAGCTCAGGCACTGGGATGCTTTCCACCTGTTATTGCCTCCGGCAGGATGCTCTCACCCTGGCTGCATGCTGGAGTGACTCCGGATCGGTCTTTAGGCTCCGCTGCAATGGCACCGCCTCAGAGACCCTCCCTGGCCCCCGTCCATGTAAGCCAGGGCCCCTCTACCTTTTTGCCTCTCCCAGCAGATGATCTGATTCCTGCCAAGTACACACGGCAATTGTAATGGGGATTTTGGCCGGTCTGACGTGTGTAATGCCGGTTCCCCCTCTGAAGTCGTTCTGTGAGCTGTGGCCTTGTCTATTTGGTTCTCTCCGCGCCCTGACATACTAGGGAGCTCAGTAAACATTTTGGGGTGAATGGACGCAGTAAGTCAGTGATTGAATACGTATGAGTGAAGGCCTCGTTGAGGACAAGGTGGAATGTGTTTGGGGAATAGGCAATCGTGACTAGAGCGTACATGATAACAGGTTGGAAAAGGGGTGGGCCCAGATGGGGAGGACCTCAAAGGCAGACCTGGATCGGATTAATTCCCCCAACGGGTACTGCATTGCAGGTGCCGGCCAGGTGTTCGGGGGTGGGGGATGCAAACTGTTTTTCCAAGGCACCCCGGATTCTCTCTGCTCAGAGCCAAACGGACACCCAGGGACTTCTGCGGGAGATAAACAAGCTGCAACCACCTGGACCAAGGGGAGACGATCAAGGGTGGAGGGGGATGGCGGGGCGGGAAGAGGGCTGTCTTTGAGCGACCGCGGGGGAGCTCCGATACTGGTCTAGTCCCTGCGGCCAAGGGTCAGGATGGAGGGTCGCCCAGGCAGGGCCAGACATCCAGGCGGCGTCGCCCCCGCCCGTGGGTCCCGGGGAGTTGGGGAGGGGGTGGCGGTGGCGGCCGAGAACCCAGCGGGAGATGCCACCTATGGCCTTCGGGGCCACCGCAGCCCCCCAGCAGTCGGAGGCCGGCGCCCGCGGCGCGCAGTAACAGGTCCCGCGGCCGCGCCCACACTCACCCTGCGCAGCCTTGGAAGCCGAGCGCGTCCGCCAGAGCCGCCGGGTCGCCTTCCACGGCCGCAGCGAAGAAAACAGCCTCCGGCTCTTCTTGCCGCTCTTCTCAGTTGCTCCCATCTGTGCGCCCGCACCCCTCCCCCGCCGCCCGCCGCCGCCCGAGGGTCGCCTCTCGCTTCCCCGGCCGCCGCGCGTCTGCCAGGTGCCCGGCCGTCGCGGGGGAGGACGCGGCCGCGGGGGGAGGAGCTTGCGGTCGGGCGGGGGGCGGGGGGCACCGCGCTCGCGCCGAGCCGGAGGGCGCTGCCGGCCGAGGCGGGGACGCTGCCGGGATGCGCCAGCCGGGGGAAGCGCTCAGCAGCTCACGGCTGAATGCTTTAGTCATTCGTCCTTGATTCCGGAGGTGTCGACAGAGTGCCCGACTACAGCTCGGCATCATTAATTAACACAAAAACCCCTGGGATATCCACTGATTTCTATCCCCAAATTACAAATGATAAAACTGAAGCTCCGAAAGGTCAGGTAATTGACCGGGAGATCAGAGTCTCTAAACCATGCAGATTCCCAAGTCCTCGGCTCGAACGGCATTTGTTCATTCCTTTCTACTGCCTGCGGATGATGCCACGTTATGTTCGAATTTTTTTTTAAACTGTGATAGATGTTCCTGTTTTCTTCATACAACAGATTAAGAATTACCTGTTTTTCTCTCTCTTTTTTAAGAACCTAGTCTATGTCCAGGGACTTTTACGCATATGCCATTAAACCTCATGGTACCGCTGTGGGGTAGGAAGCATTTCCCCATTTGCCAGATGAGGAAACTGAAATGTCAGAGCTGAGGTAGCCCAGCCTTCTCCCCACTTTGTCTCTGTGGTGATTTTGCTTGCAGCTGGGGGAGTCCAAGAGAAGAAGAGCAAAACCAAGATTCCTTAACAGGGCCTGGCTGCGATAGTAACAGCTCACATGTATAGAATGCCTTTCATGTGTCAGGTTGTACATCCATTATTTCATTTAACTCTCCCAATGATACTCATGGTAGGGAAATTATTAATATCTATGCTCAACAGAGGGCTTCCCAGGTGGAGCTAGTGGTAAAGGCTCCACCTGCCAGTGCTGGAGACACAAGAGTCGGTGTTTGATCCCTGGGTGGGGAAGATCCTCTGCAGTAGTGAATGGCAACCTACACCAGTATTCTTGCCTCAGAAGTTCCATGGGCAGAGGAGCCTGGCAGGGGTCGCAAACAACTGGACAGGACTGAGCACATACATCCATACATACACTTAACCGATGGGGGAAGCTGAGCATCAGAGAGATCAGGTTAGATATATAAAGGCTTAATAAAGTTTCTATGTTAGGTTGAATCATGCCATTTTTCTAGGTTCAAACAAAAAGCTCAATTTATTATAGGACAGTTTCACCAGATGATCAAAATTTAAATAACCAAAGGAGGCAACTGATGACTCAATGCATCTAGATGATACATTGAGAAACATATATATATATATGTTTCAGGACTTCCCTGGTGGCCCCCTTCGATCCCTGGGTCGGGAAGATTCTCCTGGAGAAGGGCATGGCAACCCACTCCAGTATTCTTGCCTGGAGGATTCCATGGACAAAGGGGCCTAATGGGCTACAGTCCATAGGGATTGCAAAGAGTAGGACACGACTAAGCAACTAACACTTTCACTTTCTTTCATATAAGTTTAAGGGTCTTTGTCAATGATAAACTGTTGAAGTTGATCATTATATTGGTAAGAAAATATCCAAGTTTTATAAAATACATACTAAGATATTTAGGAGTAAATGGTCATGATGCATTTAATTTTCCTTCAAGTGCTTTACCAAAGAAGTTTCATATATATGTTTGCAGAGAGGGGAGAAGCAAATGATAAAGCAGATACAGCAAAATCATAATAATAGATGAATCTGTATAAAGAGTATATGGGTGTGCTTTGTACTATTCTTTATTCTTGCAACTTTTCTGTAAGATTTCAGTTTATTCCCAGGTGAAAGGGTAAAAAAACCTTTGTTTCATAGAAAAAGAAAATAAAGTGGGACGACTCACTGTACCTGATATTAAGGACTACTATAAGGCTATATTTATCAAAACAGTGTGGTCTTGGCAGAGGGATAGATGCATAGATCAGTAAATAACTCGAAAAAACACACCTATACACATATACCCAACAGATTTTTGACAAGGATGCAAAAGCAGTTCAATGGAGGACAAACAGCTGTTTCAACAAATAATGCTGAAGCAACTGGACATGTGTTGGCAAAAAATAAAAAAATTTACCTTGACGTAAACCTCATACCTCATATGAAAGTCTAGAAAATGGATTATAGAATTAAATGTAGAATTATAAAACTTCTAGGGAAAAATAAGAGTAAATCATCTGTGACCTGGAATACAACAGAGAGGTATCACCAAATGCATGATCCATACAAGAAAAGGCTGATAAATTGGACTCTATAAAAATTAAATACTTCTGCTCTGTGAAAGACCCTTTTAGGAGGATGAAAATACAAGCTACAAAATGGACCAAAAAATCCTTATCCAACAAAGGACTAGTATTTATAATATATAAAGAATCTCAAAACTCAGCATTAAAAAAATCCAATTAGAAAATGTGCAAAGACACTTACCTCCCTGATGGTTCAGTGGTTAACAATCCATCTGCCAAAGCAGGGGACACAGGTTTAATACATGGTCCGGGAAGATCCCACATGTCATGGGGCAACAAAGTCCATGTTCCATAACTACTGAACTTGCACTCTAGAGCCCATGCTCTGCAAAAGGAGAAGATACCGCAGTGAGAAGCCTGCATACCACATTGAAAAATACCCCTGCTGGCTACAACTCCAGAAAGCCCGTGCAGCAGTGAAGATCCAGCACAGTCAAATATAATTAAATTTTTTAAAAATTTAATTGGAAATGCACAGAAGACTTGAGCAGATATTTCAGTAGAAAGGATGGACATACAAATGTCAAATAAGCACATGAAAAGCTACCCAGCACCATTACCTATTAAGGAAATACAAATTAAAACCACAATGATATATTCAGTTCAGTTCAGTCACTCAGTCGTGTCCAACTCTTTGCGACACCATGAATCGCAGCACGCCAGGCCTCCCTGTCCATCACAAACTCCCAAAATTTACTCAAACTCATGTCCATCGAGTCGGTGATGCCATCCAGCCATCTCATCCTCTGTCGTCCCCTTCTCCTCATGCCCCCAATCCCTCCCAGCATCAGGGTCTTTTCCAATGAGTCAACTCTTCGCATGAGGTGGCCAAAGTACTGGAGTTTCAGCTTCAGCATCAGTCCTTCCAATGAACACCCAGGACTGATCTCCTTCAGGATGGACTGGTTGGGTCTCCTTCCAGTCCAAGGGAATCTCAAGAGTCTTCTCCAACACCACAGTTCAAAAAGCATCAATTTTTCAGCACTCAGCTTTCTTCACAGTCCAACTCTCACATCCATACATGACCACTGGAAAAACCAGAGCCTTGACCAGATGGACCTTTGTTGGCAAAGTAATGTCTCTGCTTTTTAAAATGCTATCTAGGTTGGTCATAACTTTCCTTCCAAGGAGCAAGCGTCTTTTAATTTCATGGCTGCAATCACCATCTGCAGTGATTTTGGAGCCCAAAAAAATAAAATCTGGCACTGTTTCCACTGTCTCCCCATCTATTTCCCATGAAGTGATGGGACCAGATGCCATGATCTTACTTTTCTGAGTGTTGAGCATTAAGCCAACTTTTTCACTCTCCTCTTTCACTTTCATCAAGAGGCTTTTTAGTTCCTCTTCACTTTCTGCCATAAGGGTGGTGTCATCTGCATATCTGAGGTTATTGATATCTCTCCCAGAGATCTTGATTCCAGCTTGTGCTGCTTCCAGCCCAGCGTTTCTCATGATGTACTCTGCATATAAGTTAAATAAGCAGGGTGACAATATACTGCCTTGACATACTCCTTTTCCTATTTGGAACCAGTCTGTTGTTCCATGTCCAATTCTAACTGTTGCTTCCTGACCTGCATATAGGTTTCTGAAGAGGCAGGTCAGGTGGTCTGGTATTCCCATCTCTTTCAGAATTTTCCACAGTTTATTGTGATCCACACAGTCAAAGGATTTGGCATAGTCAATAAGGCAGAAATAAATGTTTTTCTAGAACTCTCTTGCTTTTTCAATGATATATTAGTGCATACCTATTAGAATGGCTAAAATGAAAAATAGTGATAACACCAAATGCTGGTGAGGATGCAGAGGGAGAAACTGGATCATTTATACATTGCTGGTATTAATACATATGTCACAACCACTTTGGAAAAGAGTTTGGCAGTTTCTTATAAAACTAAACTTGGGCTCTAAAATCACTGCAGACAGTGACTGCAGCCATGAAGTTAAAAGACACTTGCTCCTTGGAAGAAAAACTATGACAAACCTAGACAGCATATTAAAAAGCAGAGATATCACTTTGCCAACAAAAGTCCACGTAGTCAAAGCTATGGTTTTTCCAGAAGTCATGTACAGATGTGAGAGGTGAACCGTAAAGAAGGCCAAGCACCAAAGAATCGATGCCTTCAAACTGTGTGCCGAAGAAGACTCAAGTCTTGAGAGTCCCTTGGACAGCAAGGAGATCAAACCGGTCAATCCTGAAGGAAATCAACCCTGAATATTCATTGCAAGGACTGATGCTGAAACTCTAATACTTTGGCCACATGATGTGAAGAGCTGACTCATTGGAAAAGACCATAATGCTTGGAAAGATTGAAGGCAAGAGGAGAAGGAGGCGACAGAGGATGAAATGGTTGGATGGTATCACTGACTCAATGGACATGAGTTTGAGCAAACTCAGGGAAATGGTGAAGGACAAAGAAGTCTGGCGTACTGCAGTTCATGTGGTCACAAAAAGTGAGACACGACTTAACAACTGAACAACAGCAACAAATAAAACTAAACACAACTTCCATAAGACCCAACAATTGCACTCTTGGGTACTTATCCCAGAAAAAAGTGAAAACTTATGTTCACACAAAAACATATACAACAATGTTTATAGTAGCTTTATTTGTAATAGCCCCAAACTAGAAACAACCCAGATATCAGATATCCTTTGATGGGTAAATCATTAAACAAACTGTTTATACCCCTGCCATGGAATACTAAGCAATAAAAAGTAACAAAGCTATTGCTACAGGCAATAAGCTAAATGAATCTCCAGGGAATTATGCTGAGTGAATAAAACCAATCCCCAAAGTTACATACTATATGGTTCCATTTATGTAGTATTCTTGAAGTGGTAAAAATTATGTAAATCAAAGACAGATCATGGTTGCCAGGGATGAGGGAGATGAGTATGGCTATGAAAGT